TATAATATTTAATAAATTTAATAAATATAATATATCGATTTTATATACTTATTTGATTGAATTGATACCAAATTGAGACCAATTTTAGGCTGATTTATGGTTATTTAAATTCTGAATTGATGCTGAATGATGCTGAACTGAGATCAATTTTAGGCTGATTTATGGTTATTTAAATTCTGAATAATGCTATATTGAGGTCAATTTTAAGCCGATTATGTTATTTAAGTTTCAAATTAATGCTGAATAATGCTGAATTAAGGTCAATTTTAGGCTGATTTATAGTTGAATTTAATCTGAATGGCTATGTCTGATTGGAGTCGATTGGTGTCTATTAACATCTATATTATTACCAGTTTTAGGCTAATTTATGATTGAATTTAAGTTCTGAATGCCATGTCCGATTGGGGTCAATTGGCGTCTATCGGCACCTGTTTGTGTCGATCAGAAAATATGGCAAATCAGCCATAAATAGTATCAAAATCAGCCTAAAATTGGCCATCTGATTTTTAGCTGATTTGGACTATTTCGACTAGTGCTTATAGAAACGATCTTGATATCATTTTTGGGCTTCTTAGTTTGATTTATTGAATTCTTTATTACTTGTTCTATATCCCTATGAGTCCCTATGAAAAATAAAAGTTCTAAAAAAAAAATTCGATTGTTTTATACTCTTATAAGTAACTATAATCATGAATATAATTGATATAATTGGTATATGGTCAATATATAGTATAAAAAAATAAAAAGATAAAGAGTTCAGAAATTCATAGGAACTCATAGAGTCATAGGGATAAGTAGTAAAAATGCCTTCCCAGGGTTCTAAAATTGCTAGTTTGCTATACTAATGGCGTACTTGTTAAGTTTTTTTGCTGTTTCTATAAATTTTTCATGGGGCTAAATTTTTAATAAGTCATTAGGGTCAACTTATAGCATTAGGCATTTTTATTCTATTGAGAGCCTCTTCTAACGCTTCTGGAGTCTGCCAGTCTTGAAACATCTTATCCAATTTCTTCCAGTGATAATTTGCTTTCGAATGGCACTTATTTACATGTAAATTATAAACCCATATTTAGAAGCTGTCAGTCTTACACATCTATCTTGTTTACATAGAGCTTGCTGGCATTTTTTTCAGTGAATACTACACTCTTCTAGTCGCGTACTTCCATTCTCATAAACTATTTCTTCATCGAAGGAATACTGGCAAATATATTTACTGCCTATTGATATTATTCTTCCTTCAGTCGGTTAATCTTTTTGATGTCTATAATAATATTTATTTTTATTTTAAACTTTTTTGTTAGGGTATTATACTAAAATGGTATACTAGATAATATATCTGAAAATTTTTACTATGAGCCAATCTGAGCTTTCAGAATTCTTTGACGTGTTCGCCCTATTTTTTCACCCAGAGGCTGAAAAAGATAAAATGGAAGAACAAATGATTCGCTACTCCAGTAGGGATTACTTGAATTGCATTCTAAGCCTTGATGATATAGTTACGAAAAATGATGAGGAATTAACCACAATTCTTGAAGATGCTTTATCTAAGCAATAAGATATTCCATTTATGGCTATTGATATAGAGGAATCTACTGAATTCATAAATGGTAAGGCACGTTATGTATTGCGTTTCTACAGTCCGCTTATTAATAGCCAGAAAGCAGTAGTATCAATTATGGGAATTTGAGTATTCTTTGATATTCTCATACCAGATGAGAAATCTATAGATGTATTTAAAGTAAAAATAAGAGGCATCCTCTCAAATGCGATAAAATCATTTGAAATAGAACATATAAAAGCTTTTTCATTTCGTGGTTATCATACAGAAAAAAGCCATATTTGCGTATTTACGCAGTTAATACTAAGCAAAGGAAAATAGCTATGAAAGCTATTCAAAAGAAAAAGTACATAACTACCTTGGACGATCAATTCACATATTATCACAAAGTGGCTTGTGATTGTAGAATTTTACTATTCATATGGTCTATGATAAATAATATGTATGTAAATCTAGAGAAAGAAATAACCCGCTCTGTGCATATACTTTTTGGGTATCTATAGAGAATTTCTGTCCTGTAGAAGACCTGACGTCATTAAAAAATCGCTTTTCAATTTCAGTGCTTATGAGAGATCGTACGCTTGTTCTCACATAAAATATAGAAACATATAGTTCGCGTGGATTGATGAATTTCCTGAAGCAATTAATAAAGAAGATTCTATAATCATAATTTGTATAACATTATATTAGAAGGACGATCCAAAACTGTTAAAGCAAATCTGTCTTGTCGATGTCGAAACAATACCAGATCCATGCTGGATCACAATTGTATATGGATCACAAACTAATTTACTAAAAATATTTGCACTTTGCTGGTAGGCATTTGCTCTAGACATCCAACTCAGATTTAATGATTCGCAATATGATTGGCCTTTCATTATAGAAAAAGCCAATAAATTACATCTCATTGAATGGATGTGAAAACAGATATTGGAAAAACTCGCCAGAAGACTTTCAAAGATATTATACAATAGAATTATTATAGAAGATTAGGAGAAGTGACTACTTTCAATGAAACCCTTTCCATAAAAGAAAATACAAAAGAAGATGTGAAAAAAGAATTTATAAGAGATTCCGTTTTCATCAAAGTTAGTCCAGAAGATATCTTTAAATCTTCCTTTCTTAAAATACCTGGATACGTATCAATCGATATTTGTGTATACTTTAAGAGACTTTATCCTCGCTTAGAAGTAGAAAAGAAAAGTTCGCTTAAGTTTTACTTAAAATTATGTAGGCTTGATAGTAAGGCTGATATGCATTTTAATAGATTATAGAACTACTATTCTAAGGCAAAAGAATTCTTTTCTGATATAACTGCTAGAAAAAAGCCTTTTCACTAAAAGAATCGATACTGTAAAGCAAGGTTAGTCTCAACTTTTCAAATTCATTAGAGAGAAGATTATATAGGAGGCTATGGATTTTAATAATACATGTTCAATTCATAAAATTATCAAATATACTCTTAGAGAAATTAGTTTAAAGTAATAGGGGTTTGATCAGTTTATTGTAATGGCTACATGAAAACCTAATAAAGATAATAAATGTATTCGGCACTTCATAGGATGGATGAAGGAAAAATATGAGAATAAGATTTCTGATCCAGGTGAGTGCTTTAGTTATATAGTAGTAAAGGAGGGTTCCTTTTATAATGAAAATGGTAAAAAGTAACCACGCAGAGTTGCAGACTACATGGAACTCTCAGACATTGCAAAAGAACTCAATATAGAAATAGATATCAGTCACTATTTGGAAAAACCTGTGGGATTACGTATCCGTTTTATTAATAATAATGAAAGATACTAATCGCTTTCATCACATAATATTATACAGATTAAAGATTCAGATGAGAGGGAAAAGCAAATTAATGCGTATTTCCAGAACGAGGCAAAAAATGGCTTAAAAAATATATAAAAACTTTACAATAAACTTTCTAGGTATTTTGATAATTTGTCTGAAGCAGATATAGATGAGATCATCAAATTATATAGATAAGTACTCTTAGCTGAAATTGCCACACTTTCGCTAGAATACTTATAATATTATTTATATATTATTTTCTCGTACAATAATATTGGCTAACTTTGATTTCTATCTTCAAACTTCTAATCTCTGATCATATAACCCAGCCTCAGATATGTCTAAAAGTGTAAATTGCTAGTCTGAATGTATCGGTCACTTTTTTCTTTCAGCTTGGCGTTCCATGAATTCCATATTTTTTTTCTGACTACGAACCATATAATTGCAATAAGTAATAAGATAAGTATGGAATATATTAACATAGGTGATATTAAGGAGTCTGTAACAATAGAAATAACCAGTGCTAGAGGTATTATTTGGGCTGATGATACCGCTTTTATGCCACCTGATTGCTTCGCAACCCTTCTCTTGAAATAATTTTTTCAGAATGTGCTGGTCGACTATAAACAGATTAATTAGTAGGTAACTGTCTGGTTTCTCAAAACCATCTCATCCTGGGGTAATAGTTCTTGCAAAGCCTTTAATATATATTCCCTGGCAAAACTTTTATCGAATTCCATAATCTTATCTTCAAGACCGTGCTTATAGACAAAGGATCTTAAATCATCACTAAGCCAACCTGGTAGTTTTTACGATGAATCGTTTATAGACAGAGATAGAGGATCTACTTTATTATTCTTCTTTGACACTAACTCTCGAAGACAAGAATTTTCTTCTATTAAATTTAATCATGCTGAAGACAAAGCATCTCTTTCCCAACTAGTTATCTTATATGTCGCTTCTATCCCTTTTTCCATGCATTCTATTTCATGTTTTTTTGAATTAAAATTCTCCTTTACCCATTCCAATTCAAGCCTGAGAGAATCAATCTCTTTAGGTTTGAATGAGTTTATTTAGGCCAGCTTCTCTATTACCCCTCTCACTGCATTCAAATCATAGAACACTAAATCCAGTTTTAAATCCTTCAACTTACCTTCCAATTCAACTACCTTAGTTTTGAGAAAAAAAATCTTGACCTTATTAGCGGATGAAGTTTTTTAAGCTAAAGTTGCCTCTCTTTTCAGAGTTTTAATCTTTGATTTGAGCGATTTGATTTCAGCAGAATATTTGGCTTCAAGCTTATGTTGACTCTCAGAATGAGATTTCTATTCAGAAATAAGTTAGGATTTAACTTTAATACTGAACGCATTTAACTGACTAATCTTATTTCCAATATCAGCATAGGTTCGCTGAAACTTCTTCTCTCGCTTATTGTACTTATCTTACTTATCTATCACCTTTTTACTAAGATCATTAATCTTAGAATTAAATTCGGTAACAGATCTTAATTTTTTTTCGAGTTCTTGCTCATATGCACTACCCAGCCGATATCCTCTATTTTTTATATCTTTCAATGTATACACATTGAACATAATCTTGGTATGGTTACATAGTAGAAAAAAAACATAAATAAAATTCTGAGATAATAGACTCATCCTGTATATTTAGAATAATATATTCTTTCTGAATATCTTGTTTATTCTGTATATCCTATACATCCAGAATATTTTCTTCTTATATATCCTGTATATCCTATATATTCGGAACAATACATTCTTTCTATATATCCTATTTAATAAATTATTTCAGATATTATATTAAATATAAAAAAAATATTGCTACCATGTTTAAGCAACGCATGAGATGTGATGTCCTTCCTTTTTTACCAGCCGATTATGATTTTATTATGCAATGCCGTGATGATAGACCAAGGTCTAAAGTTTTAAATGAACTAAAAGAAAAATATAGCATATCACAAAAACGTATTTATCAGATCTGGAGAGGCGAGAAAAAAAATAGGATTGCATGAGATCAATTAATTCATATGCTAACAGCTAGTCCTAAAGGGACTGCTTCACTTTCTAATATAAATATTTTAGGTGGGTGGATTGAGCCAAAGATCCAAGATCAAGGTGTTTTTTCATTCACAGAACTGAAAAAACAAATACATGTTGCTAAGATAAAGCCTAACAAATCTATTAATTCAGTTTTAGAAGAAGGTGAAAAGGCGAAAAAGTCTGAAAGGAAAAAAATAAAACCCAAGATTGAGTTAGCTTTGCTAACATCATTTCCTGTTCAGACTCAATCAGTCTTAATAAGCTTAAAAAGCTCTAATATAAATATAAAGGAATGATGCACGTCACATGAGAAGATAGCCAAAAGAAACATAAAAAATATAGCAAATATGAAGAATATATTAGAAAAATAACTTGCTTATTCTCTAAAAAGTTCATTATAGCATGTCTGTAATCTCTTACAATACTTATTGATTTCTACATTATACTTAAGAGTGTTAAATAGCATTTTTTCAAGCTCCTCGTAACTCACTTTTTTTTTAATGTATCATTCTCGCTTAAATCCTGCGAAATACAGTCTGGGGTTGAAGAATTGTCACATTTGGAAGTAATGTTCACACAATTTATCTCAAGCTTGTTCTTGACCTTATGCATATTAATTAGAATAAAAAATTCCTTACCATTACACTCTAGTTTTAATTCTCATTTTGATGCAAGTAAATCATAATTATATTTATCGAGAAGTGTATTGGGTAAGATTAGCATCAGCTTAGGATACTTAACTATAGCAAAATCAGCATATATAGTACATCCAGGAGTGAAATTTACTAAGACATTTCTAACAATTCTAAGCGATTCTGTAGGAGTAGTAGCAATGCCTCTAAGATCATATTTTTCTTTTGTATCAATTACTAGCTTTGATTGTTTAGATATATCCTCAGACATAATCAAAAATTAGCATCAGGATCAATTAGTGTTGGCAAATGACCTTGAAGTGACCTTAAAATAACCTAATCATGTGATGATTTTACTATGAAATCTATCACGTGATTATATACAAAGTGACCTAGGTCACTTCAAAAAAAGGGAAATGACCTTGGAATTTGTCAACACTAGGATCAATTGTACCTGTTGGAATCACTAGACGCTTAATTTTACATTAACAGTGACAAATATCTGTGTAGGTTCTTTTCTTTGAACAAAGTCTATCTTCATAGGATCATCAATGGACTCATTATCCTCAGAATCGACCAGTATTTTAGAATCACCATTTTGCAAATGAAGGAGGGTTGTAATAGTATCAAACTTTTCATTAAACACCTTCTCAATAATTTTTTCAATAATTTTTTCTAAGCGGAATTGTTCATCCTGTGTCAGAAATTTTGAACTTTGCTTTTTCTTCTCAGAAATAAGAACTGATATAGTCCCAGAAGGACCTGTTAAAGGAGGTATTTCTGCATCTTTTATCTTACAAAACTTGCGAGTCTTTGATTTCTTCTTTTGTGAAGAAGTACTAGTGCTATGCGGTCCCTTTGAGATCTGCTCTTTCTTTACTTTTTTTTGCCTGAAATATATTAACATTAATTTTAGCATCAGCCTCAGCCTCAGACTCTGATTCAGAAGAAGAACTTTCAGAGCTAGAAGAGCTATTCTCAGACTCTGATGAAGAAGTATTATTATCAAAAGAATCTGATCCTGATTGTTCGTCTACTCTAGCTATATGGACTCAACTACTTTTAGATTTTTTCTTTTTCTTAGACTTATTTTTCGATTTCTTTTTCTTTATTTTAGAAGTTTTACAGGTAGGTTTATAACCATTTTTATGTAACTTTTTAACTGCATTAATTTGTTTAGAAAGCTTGGCATAATTAGTATTGGCAACACCTAATCTTCTTATTAATTTGTCATTAATATAATTATCTAAAGATGTAAGATCTCTTAATGCATCAGGTGGCATTCCCAAACGCACTGCATGTATATACATCTTTTCTAAAGCCTCATTATTCTGGGGTACACTTGAGTCAGTTGAGCTAGTTGCACTTGTAAAGATGCTATTTTGTTATTTAACTTTTCAATCTCAGCCGAAGTAGCTCCTTGAGAATTAGTTTTATGTGAGGGTTAATGCAGAGTAATTCTAAGAATTTGCTGGGCACTATATCTCTCAATTTCCTCTAATTTCTTAATTAATATAGAAAAAGGAGTCTCTAAGCTGATTCGTCTTACTTCTATTTGATTATCAGGCTTAAGACCATGAAAAAATTGCTATTTAACTAATTCATCTTGATTTATAGCAGGAAGTAAAGGGTATGC